GGGGCGGGGTGGGGTGCAGGAGGGGAAGGGTCTTATGCATCACCATCCCCCAGCCCTCTGCCACTGGAGCCACGGTGGGGGGGACAGGGGCCGGCCGGCTCCAGAGGAGGTGAGGCTCCCTCGAGTGCAAGGTTCTGCAGACAGTGGGTGGAGGCCGGACCTCTCCCCGGGTGTTTGGCAGCTCTCAACTGCGCCTCCTTCGAGTGCACCTAACCTGCCACGTCTCACAGACGTTCACCACCCCGTCATCGCCCCTTGGATGGTGCGCTCGGTGGCGCTGACACACTGCGCAGGAGCCCACGCTCCCCCTGTCGTGTTCTGCTGAGTCGTCTTCCCCCCGCTCCTGCCAGGAGGCTGCTCCTTGCCGCCTGCCTCTGCCTTATCTGGAAGGGAAGTTACTGTTGACGGAGGAAGCATTTCTGTGTATTTTCCAGAATCTTTTGTTTATTCCTGGACCACAGACCTTCAAGTTGCCAGCCAGAAATGTGCCACCTCATACTTTATTTGTGACCTGCCCCAGGCAACGTGGTTCTCTTAACTAGCAACCCAGTTAAACGGTTTTCTGGGTACAAGGAGCCCATCAGGTCACTGCTCACCAGTCCTCCTGTGAGGGTGACACAGGTGGGCTCTGACCTGCTTGTGCTCCTGGCGGACTGGGTGATTTCTGTGTCTTCCCTGCGACAGAACAAATGCACTGATGCCCTGCTGGGAGGAGGGGTGAAGGCAGCTCAAGGGTAGAAAGGATGTAGCTCGGGAGGTCTGCAAGCGCAGGCCTCCCCACCACCTACAGTGGGCGCTGGCTCCCCAGGGCTCTCCTGGAGGGCACAGCCCTGCAGGGCTGCCTGGGGCAAAGCACTGGTGGTTTCAGACAGGGTGTTGGAGGGGTGGGTTGTTTGGGGAGGGATGAGAAGGGGAGGCACCCATGGTGGAAGGACCAAGGTGGGGAGGAGGTACCTGGACCACTACCAGCCCCAAAGGGGCCAGAGGGTCTCAGCTCAGCCCATAAGGAGCCGTGTTCCAGAGGCACCAGCTGCAGCGGAGGGAGCCCTGGACTGGGAGTCCAACCAGCTCCCCGCTCCACAGCTGCCCTCTCCGCGCCTCCCTTTCTCTGCGGGCACTAAGGCTGGGCTCGTGCCTGGCCTGTGGGCTGGCTCGGCTGCGATAGGGCTGGGTCGAGGCTGCAGACCAAGAAGCTGGGGGGGGCACACCTCTGGGGGCTGCACAACCACCCTTCCCCCCACGTCACTGCACCTTCAGAACAATGCTCCTGATGGGCTGAGACCTTAGTCCTTCCAGCCTTGGGAGCCCTCTTACTGGGGTGACCGTTGGTCCCCGGGAGCTCCCTGGCCCCGTGAGAGGTGGGCAGGAAGCCAGGAAGTCAAGCGGGCAGTCAGATGGGCGATGGGCATCCTCTGTGGCCGCCCTCAGAAAGGGTGGCCAAGGCTTCCTGCCTGCAGGGCCCACGGAGGCCACACAGAGGCAGCGCAGGGCTGCGTCTCGGTGCCTCGTGCTCTGAGGGCGAGGCGTCCTGACCCCGGGATGCAGAGGGTTGCGCTCCAGTGTCCACCCCTTCTCCACACATTTACTCTACAGGGTGCCCAAGGACCGCAAGCAGCTCAGGGAAAGGGACAGGTTCTCAACAGACAATAAATAAAGAGATGGGCTGACCTGAAAGGGTCCTTCAAATCCTCCAGACCCCACCCTGGTCAGCAGCCGGGGAAACTGAGGCTCAGAAAATTACATCGTTTTGCCCAGTGCTCTCCAGGCACCCACTGCCCGTCTCTGAGCGGCACCATTCCACTGCTGGGTGTGAGCCCTGAGAAAGGAGACCACGACTGAGAAGGGCTCCTGGACAGTAACTGGACTCAGCAAAAACTAAAACTAAAACAAGAGCCCAGTGGCCACTTCTGCACAGGGCCTCTCACTGCCCCCAGAAGCCTGCACTAAGCCGCTGCCTCCAGCACTGAACCCCCGGCCTGCTCTGGGTTCCTGCCCCTGAACCAGCCCTTAGAGTCCCTGGGATCCTATTTCGACCAACAGGACTGACACCCCCTGTCCAATCAGAGCTATGCAGCTATAGCCTATCGATCTTCACCAGCCAATCAGAAGGACTCCATTCTGACCAATCAGGACAGTGCCTTTTGGCCCAATCATACTGCAAGGATTTGGAGTCTTCATTTGCATGAGGACAGACCAATCAGGGACCAGGGGTGGGGACCTCTGTCTATATGAGTCAGCTCCCCGGCAGGCTCTGGGAGCACAGGGTCCGTGCCCCCCAAAGGTGGAGGGCTGTCCCCATGGCTGGAGCTGAAACACTGCTGATAAAACAGTAAAAATGCCTCAGAGCTGAACTGAACTGTCTGCGCTCAATCAAGTTTCCTCCTGCACTGCACCCCAAATGGGGATTCCTGTTGGTGCTGAATTGGCCTGGTTGACATGGGTATCTGAGGGTCGGGGTCCCCAGAATCTGCTGTCTAGATGGGAGATGGAAACACAAATGAGTACAGAGTCAGACAGAGAGAAGTCAATGGTTACACGGAGAGGGTCTAAGAAGGGGGAGAGCTCCTCACGCAGGTCCAGAGGTGAGAGGGAGGATGGAGCCCAGGAGGCCCTCCTGGAACAGGAGGCAACACTTGAACTTGGCCTTGAGGCGGAGTAAGCAGCTGATTCAGGTGAACAGTGGGAAGGGTGGGCCTCCTGCTGGAGTAATGGCTCCGGCCAAGGCCAAGGCGGGGAGGCAGCAACTTCGGAGCATAGGTGTTCTCAGGGGAAGGAGGAAATCAGAGGCCAGGCCGAGAAGTCTGCCACACCCTGAGCTCCATGTAGGCTGCTTTTGGAAACAGGGGCTGGCCTGGGTTTGGAATTTCCCCGAATTCCATTACGTTGAAAGTGCAGGAACCGGCAGCCCTCCAGATGAGCTCATGTGGAGGTGGGAGTAAACCAGTGGTCTCCACGGCAACCACGGGGCCTCGTCTGGGATGTCCAGCTGCCCCTCTGAGATGGGAGGCCCGCCCTGAGGAGCAGAGCAGCCGCTCCTCATTCCTTCACCGTGACTCGAACCCGCAGTGGCAGCAGGAGCTGTGGTCACAGGGGGCCCCTTACTCACCCCGGCACTGGCCGTCCAGGGGGCAGCCAGAGTTCCTGAGAACGCCTGACTGTGAGGTGGAGGCCCCACGGAGCACCCAGTCCCGCTGCTCAGCCTCCCAAAGGTCAGGGGCTCCCCCGAGGGCCAGCAGCACACTCAGCTCAGCTCCCTGCATCCGGGTAGAGGCAGGGCACAGGGATGCAGTAAGGCGGTGGCAGAGGCCAGGAGCGAGGCTGGGCCCCCGATGGGATGCAGGGAATGTGGGCCTCTGTTCAGCTCAGTGTTGCTGCTTCTACAAAGAAGTGGCCTTGAAGGTGCCACCTGGCCCTCAGTCTCCAGTGCCTGTGTCAGCCTCCAGGCCGAAACCATCTGGAAGGCGCCGTGTCCCCCCAGCTCCACCTGAGGCTCTGCCCTCTCCACCTGCCTCCTTGGAAGCTCAGACTTAGGAACTCAGAGCTGAGAAGAGCAAGCGAAGACGACTCGGGCCCTGGAGACCAGTAGACCTGGGATCAGGGACCAACTGTGGTCTTTAGTAGCTTTGGGGCCTGGGGCTCCTTATTTGGCCCCTCTCAACCTCAGTTTCCCCACCTGTAAAGTGGTAAAACCAGAACAAAGAACCTCCTTCCTAAATGGTGGGGGTCCAAGGAGAAGGCGCACTTGGCGCAGGGCTAGGCGCACAGCACCTGCTCGGTAACTAACTGGCACCGCTGTTACCACAGATGGCGTCTTAGCCGGCTCCCAGTGGACAGGTGTCCAGGGCAGGCTCTCGGCTGTTCTGCAGAATGCTCTCCAATTTTATATTTACAATAAATCAATTATGACTGTTCACACGTCTTTCTTGTGCTGTTGTGCTTGATGTTATAAATACATGATTAATTAAATATACAAACCAACAGTTCTCAAACTGTTTAGTATTAAGATGCCTTTACATTCTTAAAAATTACTGAAGATCCCAAAGAGCTCTTGTTTAGGTACATCCACCGACACCCACTGTATTGAATCTAAACCCGAGGGATGTTAACGCGCACACGAACCCACAAGCACACGTCCCATCGTCTCCGGAGCGAGCGTGGCCACCGGAAGCCGGCCCTGTACACTCGCGAGGGACGGACGGGTGAAGGATCCGTCTGTACGACTGTGAGAACAGCTGTGCCTGGTGGGTCCCGTCAAAGATCTGAAGGGTCCCAGCATCCCTGACCACCCTTTGAGAACCACTGACGTAAACTAATGAGCTGCTCTCTGGAAACCAGGTGGAGAGCCTTGGAAAGTCCCAGCACAGGTGAAGAAAGTTCTGTGGGGAGCACAGCCGCCAGCTAACGGGGGGCTGCCTCAGGCGGCTCTCCAGGGGGCCCCCCTTCCCATGCCTCTAGGGAACCAAAACCGGGAGCCGGCGCTGACCCATGGCAATGCAGTTTCGGCAACAGAGGTAACCCGGCGGTGACCCGGTGACCCAGTGACCCAGAGGTGACCCAGAATTCCCACCTGTGACTCACCTTCAGAGAAAAGGCTCTGGCCCTTTTATCAAATGTCAGTAATTGAACCTTGAATATTTTAAGTACAGATAAAACGCTTAAGAAACATACTTGTGGTCAGGCAGTGTTCCCCCATCTCCCCAGCTTGCCCAGCTTACTCTGTAATTACAGATGCTCTGGGAACGCTGACCGGACCCTGCCTGCTTCTCCCACACGGGCACCAGCTCCAAGCCTCGCTCTTGCCGTTCACCGCTCCGTGGCCTCAGCCGTCGGCACTCCACAAACACTGGGTGAAGGAGCCAGCCAGGTGCCAATGAACGGGCGAGGGAACCACCCCCACCTGACCCCACCCCACCCCACGGAGCTCCTCCTGTGACCCATTTACGCACAGTGAACACCTCGGAGAACCCGCCGGGGGCTCGTGACGCGAGGAAGAGCCTGGCTCCCGGGTCCCCGTCATGGGCCCACATTTAATTCGGGTAAATAGCGGTGAAAGTAACAGTGTAACTGGTTCGCTCGACAGCTCAACGCATACAGCCCCACACGCGGCCTCGCAGAGCAGTCACTTCCACACCAGGTCGCAAGGGATGCGCCGTTTCGCTTTGGTTTGGGTGACGGGCTCCAGGGCCACCACCAGAGACAGCACCTGTGCCATCCACAAGAACGGGCCTCGAAGCGGAGACAGCAAAGGTGGTGCCCTTGGGAGAAAGGCCCCCGGACAGGAGCCGTGTCTGCGTGGCACTGGTGGGTACAGAACGGTGGGCCTGTGTGTGTAAAAAGACCTGTGTAATAAACCAAATAATATTGGGAATAATATGTCCTGATACTTCTGTGAGAAGCAGATTGGGCTGCATGTTACTCACATGCGTAGAAGTGCGTGAGACAAGCCCCATGGCTACGGGGGGCAGGGAGAGCAAAATGCATCCTGAAAACGACAAGTTCACTGGCAGAGACGAGAGTCCCAGGCAGGGCTGTGTCCAGAGCAAAGAGCCGAGTCAGCCCCTGAGCCGAGGGAAACCCACTCAGAAAATGCACCCACAGGCGCACGCACACACCTGTGCTGCAAACACACACACACACGGATGTCCCCGAGCACCCCTGTGCTCAGCCAGGTCTCCCGCTAGCTGCTGCTCGGGGCACCTGCGGAGGGAGGAAGGGTGGGGAACTGTCCCTGAAGGTAGGTGTTCAGGACACACAGCCCCTCAGCCAGGCAGTGCACCCCACCTCCGGGCAGGGAGACACGGCGCTGCGGCTGGAAGCTGTGCAGATCCTCACGCCACGAGTGACGGCTGGGTGGGGGGTGCTGACAGTTTCCAACTTGGTGTCCAGGACCTTGCGAGAGAGCTCTGGTCGCATGAAGCTTCCCTTGAGGGTGCTCAAGTGAGAAGTTCACTGGGTCCACTGGGGGCTGTGTGCCGAGCGGCTCCAGGGCCCCCCTCAATCCTTCCCCATCACCTCCAGGAAATGACAAGGCCCTCAGCCCATCCATGGGCAAGGCAAGCTGCCGGGTGGCCCAGAAAGTTCTCTTAGGAATCCCAGCGAATCATGCTCGGAAAGTTTGGCTCCCATGTGTTTCTGAAGCAGGACAGGAGCGTCTTGTCTGTGAGCTGAGCCAGGGCCTCTGGCCACACCTGGCAGAGCAGGTGGGTCATGAGCTCACTCCTGGGGATGGTGGAGCCATGGAGCCCACAGTGGCCAGAACTAAACTTCCAATCCCCCCGTTCCAAGGGCCTCGTGTGCAGGACACAGGACGGGGTCCAGCTCCTAGACTCCCATGACGTGTGCAGTTCCTAGAAGCTGCTCAGTCCCGCATGATCAGCCACAGCTTCCCCTCCTTTACAAACTGAATTTCTATTGCAATTATAAACAAAACAAGCTCTTGAGCCGACTTCTAAGGAGGCGGAAGAGGGCTCCGGGTGAAACGCTCTGTTTAACTCCCTGTTAAATTTAAGTCCATGAGGACGTGGGAGGAGGCCCGGCAGACAGGAGGGTTTGTATCTGAAGAGGCTGAAGGGCAGACTTTGGAGTAAAAGGAGACAAAAAACGGAAGAGCTCCCGCCTCCGCCAGGTGCGTCAGGGATCCAGAATGTTTCGGAACTGAACGTGGCCTGCGGGTTCTGGCAGCCCCACGGCGTGACCTCCAGGCTGCTCAGCCAGACCCCAGGCCCGAGGCTCCCCTTCCAGCTCCCAGGACAGCGCCCGCCGGCCTCATCCCAGGAGCACCGGCCACAGTCCCAGAGCAGGAGGCAGTCTATCCAGAAGTGGGGTCTCAGGTGGCCTCAGGTGGGGGAGCGTCGCCAAGGGTCCACTGCCAGGCTATTTGATGTCACAAAGGACATCCTGGATGGTTACAGTAGACACGTGCCTGGGAGGGAAGGAAGCCTCAAGTCTCGGGGTTCTCTCCACACTCTGAGTTCGATGTTCCCTGAAGAGAGAGATTTTTAAGTCACGGTGACAGTGAACCCACAGGCCCTGGGCAGTGGAGGGAGCCAGCCTCACGTCTTCTTCCAGGAGAAGGCCTCGTCGCCGAGGACCTGCGCCAGCCTGGCGTTGAAGGGCCCGTAGAAGTCCCGCAGGATCCTCTGAGTCACCGGCCACATGGGCCCCAGGCTCCGGTCCTCGGGGCGCCGAGCGTTGGACGCCGGGCTCTTTGTCATCAAGGCCTCTTGTTTCTCGCTCAGGGGCCCTGGAAGAGAAAGGAAAGAGCTTGTGAGGCGGAGGCAATGGCAGGAGGCAAAGAAACTCTGCAGAAACCCCGGCCACGCTCCACGTCCAGACAGGAGTCTCCCTCCCTAAGGATGTGTTTGGAGATCAGAGTTCCTGGGCCGACCCGTGATGCAGTTGCTCAGGGTGGACGGTAGATACCGCATTACGAAACTGCAGGCTCCACGCCCCGTGTCTGACGCCCGCGCTCGGAGGCCCACCTGGAACATCAGGCTGTTGCCATCCCTGAGCCTCACCTCCTGGACCCCTGGCCTGAGCCTCACCTCCCGGCTTTCTTCCGGCTGCCCCCGAAGGGCTGGCTCCCAAGTCCATCGGCCTGTCCTTGGTCAACTAAGCAACGTGCCGGGCATAGTCCATACCCATAGATTTTCCTGGTCACCAGCCCACCATCCTCTCTACCTCGGGCTGCTAATGTAAAGGGCTCCTGGCTGGGCCATGATTCACCCTGTGTCTTGCTGTGAAGTGGCCGCAGGGAGGCGGGGGCAAGAGGAGCTGGCTGTGCCCAGAGACCCCACCAGCTGGACCTCTGAAGCAAGGACATCCCATGGGGAAAGGCCCAGGAACAAGCCAGCAGGTGTTGTCACCCAAGGCTCCACCTCCATCCCAGGCCCTTGGGCCACCAGCCTCTCACTGGCCTCACCCATCACTGGTTCACTGCCCAGGCCTCTCTGCCCCAGGATTTCAGAATCTGGCCAAAGTCCTGAGAGTCCATCTCCCCGCATCCTTCAGTTACATGAAACAGAAAGAACAGAACTGGCCTTATTGCCCATCTTAGGGATTAGACAAGCTCGTTGATGCTGGAGTCTGCAAGTGGCCAAATCAAAGAAAAACAGTTCTGGGCCTTAGAGCAAGTAATGATGCCATCACATCACCAGCTCCCCAAGAAGGGGAGAAAGAAAGTCAAATGATAAAAGGGTCCCGAGTCCCAGGAGCCAGGCCAGCAACCCACACCCAGCCACATGGCTCGGATTCCAGGGATCCCTTGTGCCCGAGGTGTCCTGTCTGTTCCCTCCTGTGAGCCTCGTGGCCTCTGCAGGACTGGCCCAGCCACCCCAACGTCCTGTCCATCCTCAAGGCTCAATTCACAGACTATTTCCCCCATGGAGCCTTCCACGCTCCCTTCAGCGGCTGGAACCCCAAATCATCCGATACACCTGTTCTGACAACACTAACCCTCCCATATTTCCACCAGTTATTTGAGCTGCAGTTTCTCTTCCCCCCGTGGCCGTAAGCTCCCAGATGAGAAGCCGTCTGCCCCTCCCCAAAGACCCTTCCCCGCAACATGCATCAGGTCCCATGTGAACTGGTGCTGAATGGCCTCCCAGCTCGGCCCATCCCTGCCCAGCTCACGGAGTCTGCATGGGACCCAGCGAATCCCTCAGACAGACAGCATCCATGGCCCTCGGCTCTGTTCTGTGGGCTCCGTGACATCGTACCGAGGCTGAGGAACTGGAAGACCCGGTGCATGGTGTCCTTCACATTGGATGCATGGTCTTCCAGCCGAAGGACAAGGAACTGCTCTTTCTTGAAAACCGTGAGCCAGTCCAGAAGATACACAGCGTACAGCCCGACCTGCAGCCTCACCTGGGACCAGAGAGGAAGGCGTCATTCCAGGAGTACCTCCCCCACGCCACACGGCACTTTTCCATGTGGTGTGTCACCATAGACCAACCCCAGAGAGATAAACCAACCCCAAAGATGGTGGATTTTAAATGCCATGCAATCGTGCTTCTTGAAAGGATTCCCACTTAGGGTGGAATCTAATCCTATGGCAACCCTGTGGGCAGTTCCATGGCATGTTTCATAGTGAGGACTCAGATAAAGGAAGAAGCCAACATGAGAGCCACCACGGGGACGAATGTTCTTTGCACAATATCCTGGCTGTCTCTGCTCCTATGCCCAGCACACGACAGCCATGGAAACACCGCAGTGGGACCCAGAGCCATGCGCACACAGTGGGAGGCATGAATGCACATCAAGGTGGCAGACATGCCACCCCAAAATATGCCACGTTGGCATGAGGATTATTTTGTGCTGAAGGCAATTAAGAAAAAACAGATATAAGAGGAGCTCTCTGCCCTCCCTCTGTTTTCCTAAAAGCAGGGCATAAATTTCTGAGGGTGTCTCCCTTCCCCGTCTCCACCAGGAAGGACAGAAGTTAATCACTAGAGACAACTAGACCCCTATCAGCCTGGAGCCATCGCCAGAAGACTCAACATAAACCTTGTAAAACTAGCCTTTGTCACCATTGGTCCCCCCACATACTTGCCTTCCCACAATTTGCTGCCCTAGAAACTCAAAGTCCTTCTCCTTTGTCCGTCAACTCTCTACAAAGTATTGTTCTTTTGTTAAGGTGCTTTATAAGCCCGAGTTCTAACCACCTCTTTGAGTTACTTGCCACTGGTTGCTCCCATGCGGATGTGCCACAGACATGTCAATCAACTTCTGTTTGTTTTTCTCTCGTAAATCTATCTTTTTTCCAAGTTTCAGGGCCCCAACCAATGAATGAACTATCACTCTTTAAGCCTTAGAACAGCCTGGAAAAATGGTATTTTGACCCCATTTTATGATGAAGAAATGGGTCTCAGAGAAGCTAAGACAACTGTCCAGCATCACACAGCTAGTAAATGCCTGAGCTAAGAACTGAACCCACGTCACCGTCTGGTTCCACAGGCCACGCCTTCCAGCAGCACCACCAGCCAGATTTTGTGGTTACCTGGGTCCTTGTTATGGCTTCCCTGACAAACTCCAAACTCCAGCAGGACAGCCTGGAGCCCTACCTGCTGCCTCTGACACCAGCCTGTGCAGCAGCCTGCCTTCCAGGAGGGGCGGCTTTGATAACAAGGATGGGGGAGTAACACCCGTTAATCTTGAGCCCCACCACCCCCCCTGGGGACTCCACGCCTCCACCTCAAGCAGATCTGTTCCTGCCTTACCACGTGAGATGCTCAGCAGAGGGGGGCTTGTGAACCACATCCCAGTGCAATTGGGAGCATCAGCCTCACAGTGGAAGGCTCACCACCTGCGTGAAACCTGCAGAAAAGGCACCTGGACAACCCAGGGTGCTGCGCGGTGGTGGAAACCCATCCCTTAGCTAAAACTTGCTGAACTCTCCATTAACGGCTTCTTTTGCATTTAAAAAAAAAAAAAAAAAATGCAAGAAATGCATAGCTATATCCTTAAAGGCAAACAAGAGAAAAGCAAAGAAAATACTTTTCCATTGCGACCCTGTCGAAGAAGCAATGACAGTCCCTGGTGGGTAATTTTTAAAACCAACAAAACAGCCCACCCTTGGAGAGAACGCGGAGGCAATTTGTGAGCTGGGTCCGCACGTCTGCCAATCCTAATTGTAGGGTATTCTCACAGCCTCACTAAATGGCAATCTTCCTAAACGCACCCTCATTCTCTCGCCGAGGGAGGAGAGAGCATTGTAGCTGGCAGATCAGCAGTGAGGAAAGCCCGGTGCCAGCTGACAGGGCCCATGGGCCCATCAGTTCCTATACTTCTCCATCTATGAATATTTGTTTTTGTTCTAGCCACCCACTCACAGGCCTGGGAGGGAGTCATTTGCACACTGAACCGCCTCTCTGTATTTATATGCTAAACACCGTCCACACCACTTGCATAATCAGCGCGGAGTGGCCGCTCTGCGGGGGGGCTCCGGGTGCGCACCGGCATGGCGTTGTTGAGGCTGTTGTTGTAGACGCAGGCACGCAGCGAGTAGTCGAGCAGGCAGCTTTCGAACAGCTGCAGGGCCTCCGTCACCTTCTCGTGGAAGTCGTCAGCGGATTTATTCGAACTCGCAAAGTAGAGATAGTCCGAGTACAACCTGTGAACAAAATAAACAGATTTTCACCACCTGCCAGTGGGAGGAAAATCACAGCATTTAGGCGAAAATGAAAATCAATGCGCAATTACCGTTCGAGTTTTGTTCCTTAAAACTCTGCCATTTCTCTTTGTTCTCTTGCAGATGATCCATTTGCCTGCTTCCCTTCCTGCCCCCCTCCCAGGGCCACCCAGGCCCCCCCGGACTCAGGCCTGTCTACACAGGCCCCAGACAAACCACCGCTGATTTGTCTTTTGTTCTTTCCTGCCACCTTAGGCCGCGGCTGTTTTCACAGCAACAGAGAGCTCTGAGACAACGCCCGGGTACCGAGACCGTGCAGCAGCCGAGAGAGGCCTGAATTTCACGCTCCTTCCAGGGTCTCCCTCCTCCGTCGGAGGGGACCAGAGCGCGAGCATCTGTCGCTCAGGCAACATTACAGTTCTACGTGAAATTCCCGGCCCTCTCCACAGACGTTCGAACATTCAAAACAACGTTAGCAAATGTGTCTCTCTAGATTGGTGGGGACCCACTTCTTAGCGCAATGTAAGCCCCCCACCCCACGTACGCACGCAGACACCTGGAGGCTGTATGTCTGTCCGCACACATGGACCTGTCCACACAGACCGCGCCCACATATGGAAAGGTGTTTTCATACGGAAACGGATAGTCTCTCCTGAACCAAACTTCATTTGGGCTCCTGTGGACCTTCTCAGCTAGGTCGCAAACTTGTGGACGTCTGTGTCTGTCTTTACAGACACCACCCCCCCCCCATAGCAGAGATGTAGACTCACTGATGCAACCTCGGCAGGTCAGGACCCCAAAGGACACTTGCCTTAGGTTCTGGGAGCCAAACAGTGAGTGAAAAACTGCCTGCTTCAGAGACTGAGAAGCTGTCCAGAGCTGGGAGATCTGTCCCATGACCTGAAGGACGGACCGGTCAACAGAAGGTGCAGGAAGAAAGACGGGTTTGATTCAAGGGAAGATGTCTTGGCTGGGCAGTCCAGCGGGCAGTGAGCCGCCCCAGCAGCAGGGGCCCCCGAGGCTGGAGGGGACAAGGCCCTCGGGCAGAGCGAGGGCCAGCTGACCCGGACACCCAGCCAGCCCCACGTGTGGGCGCTGCCAGGCCCCCTCCTGCAGAAGCACCTCACTTTCTTACTCTTAAACCATCCCAAACAGATGGGTGTTACATTTGGCCAGGACTGTTTCCAACAGCAATTCCAAATATAAGTCCAAGTACATTCCAGGCCTTCTGTGCTTGGTTATTTTAGAAGGCTGTTGGGGCGGCCGGGGACGGGAGCCTGCACTCACGGCCACGCTCCTCGGCTCCTTGCTGTGCCCTGCAGGGACCCGGGACCCCGCTCCTGAAGGAGAGTGGGAATGCGTGTGTGTGTTGGGGGGGTCCCTAACCTGCTGCTTCTGGAGGGGACCACGTCTCTCCCCACAGGGACAAAGGAGCAGCCATCAGTGAGCTTCAAGGCCCCACCATGTAAAACCTAGACAGTTACCCCCCAGGCCATAGCTGAATTCATTGAGGACATTGCCGGGTGTGGCTCTGAGCCCACCTGAGCAGACGCAGGTGTACTGACCACCCTGACTCAGGGGCAGCGTGTCCGTGGGCCCCTCCTCCAGGCCAGGCTCATATGAGTATCGAAGGGGTGGGCAGCTGGGAGCCGCTGACCACTCCTGGGCTGGCTCCCCCTGAGGCCGCACTGGCCCCCACTTCCCTGTGCTCCCCCAGGGCCGCCAGCCGGCTTCTCAATGACACACAATGTGAATAGTGACATTTCCTCAACCAGGAGCCCCTGAAAGGTGGCACACAAATGTCTCCCAATGAACCCCCCCCCAATGACACCGCACGGTTCTGTGGCACCTGGAGGGTCGATATACCTGTGATCACAGAAACGAAAGCCAGGGCAGCCCCTCATTATTGCCCATTTGCCGGCATTCGGGCTAAAGCCACTGATCAATACGCCCAGCCTCTGACACGGCTCCATCAATAACGGTCAGATATCTATTTCCTACAAGGAAACACAGCCACGGAATGAAGCCGGGAAGGAGGCGTGTTGGCCCCACGGATCCACAGAGCGTGACCGTCTCATCGCCAGGGCCAAAGCAGGACTGGCCAGGCGGACACCAGGAGGACATGTCCAGTCACCGTAGGCCATGCGTGTGGGTGACACTGAAGGCTCCTTTTCTGCCAAATAAGAGCATCCAGGTTTGGGCTTAAAATGTCCAAATGGATGCCAAGCTTTCTGGTTTCCGGGGGCCTCTGGGGGTGATCCCCTTGAGTGGGAGCAGAGTTCTGGGTCCACTTATATTTCTTCCACACCAGCCCATCCTGGGTACCTGGTAAATGGCCACGGATGAAAGGCAGAGCCTCTCGGAGGCAACACCAGGCATCCTTTTTATCTCTAGGCCTGGGTGACCCGACGGGAGATGTCGGTGGTGAGAAAGGCTGGCGCACAGAGCACGGCCGCCACCCCTGGCTCAGGCAGCCCCACAGCCAGGCCGAGGGCCCAGACCGAGGGGCCTCACTGCCCGGCGACGGCCACTACCTCCCACCCCTCAGCGCTGTTGGAAGGAGAGGTCCCCAGACTCCGCCTGGTGGCCCAGAGTCGAGGCCAAGCGCCTCCCGACCCGCCACCAGCACGCAGCCCGCCTCTGAGTGTCTGCGGACAGAGAAACAAGGGGTGCTTCTCCCGAGACCCCGCTGCAGGGAGCCGCCCTTCGCAAACAATCCTGAGGGAGTATGGGGACTGCCAGTGACTTTGTAAACACGTCCCGAGAAAACAGGCTGTGTTAAACACAGGAATTTTCGGCATGAGGGTTCTTTTCCACCAATAACAAGATGCGGCCCCTCACCGGGGTGACCCTGAGCGGCCTGAGAGCAGCCTCACAGGCCAAGCCGTCCCCGCCTGGCCACGGCCACCTCCGCAGCTGCAAGGCCTGGGCCAGGCCCTCGCCTGGGTGCGGCTCGCGGCTCAGCCCAGGAAGCGGCCGCACAGAGGGGTACATCAGGGACCCCGGGCCGGCAGCTGGGGGGAGCAAGGCGCCTGAGCTCACCAGGGAACGGACAGGCAGCTTAGGCTCCGCCACCGCCCTCCTCGAGCCTCCTGCTTTCATTCTCGAGACTCCAGGGGCTCGGAGAGGACAGGCGGGCGAGTGCCGGACGGCGGGAGGCCGTGAGGATCTGCGGCTGCCGTCGCCACCTTACCCTCCAAGGCCCTTGCTCCCGATGCCCCTGCCTGTCCGCAGGGGAGCCTCCTAACCCCCCTTCACCGTCGTTTATGTTAACAGTGGTCCACCCGCCTCCTGATCCTCGGGTGAACCTGTTACAGAGGAAACGCTGCTGCTGCCTGGGTGCCGGCCCGCTCCCGCCTCCCCCCGGGCTGTCTGCGGGTTTTCGGCACCGGCTGAGCAGCAGGAGAGGCTCAAGTCAGAGGCCGACGCGATTCAAAAACCTCAGCCCACTCGGCTCCCTGCAACACGCTGGCTACCTGCCGGTCGGCACCTCACTCGCCCCGATGGGGAGATAGGTGAATGAGCTGAGTCCGGGCCTGGGCACCCTCACACGCTGGGTCCTGACTGCTTACAGACCTCCGCAAAAGTGGGGAGTCACCCTGTTGATGGTCACACTCCAGCATCTCCCAGAAACTGCTCCCCCAAAAAGACCAGCCACACCCAAGGCCAAGTCTCCCAGGTCGAGTCATCACCACGGAGCTCGCAGAGCAAACGCTCCTGGGGCGGCCATTTCTGTGAGTGGTATTAAGTCTACATGCAGATTAAAACTAAAATACACAGACAACTAAACCCTAGCAGCTGGTGCACAACAACCCTCCAATGTCCCTCCCGTGACCTACATCAGAGGGCCGCCGCCTCCCAGCCACGGTTCACGTCTCACGGAGCTGGCCCCGCCTCTGAATTCAGAGGCCAACTTATCAACCACCTCACCAATGAAGAGGCGGGGGGCTAAGGTGAGAAGCGTTGAAAAGACCAGTCTTTTCCACTAAAGAATCGAACTCAATGAAAAATTCTGCTTGTAACTGGTGGCTTCTTTTTTAATTAACGGGACAGTTTAGCCCAGGAATGTACCACCCGAGTTTTAAATGATGGTTATTTCTTACATAGGGACACTTACAAGATTCTTGGCTGGCCCGGGCCATAGCGCATTCCCATCCTCTGTCCACCTCACGTCTTTCTCCGGAACCTTCAAAGTGACTGATTGGACTTTGCTACAATTCCAGTATTTTCAAACCCTCTACCTTCGATCAATTATAGAAATAAAAGCTAAATGTGAATCTAAATCTAGAAATAAAAGCACCCCCTTCTCACCTCCAAGCCAATTTGTAAGAGAAAATGAAGGATTTGGCCCAGTCCCACCGGCAGCGAGCAATCTGGGGATCTCCCTCTCGCAGAAGTGCAAGGTCACGGGAGGACCGGGGTGGCAAAGGGCCCGGGACCCAATCAGACGATGGGAACTTGGGCTCCAGTGTTTGTTTCTTCAACCGTGACCTAAACACTCGACATTCATCATCCTCCCTGGTGGGAACGGAACACGAGGCAGCCTCTTCAGAGAAGCTATGAGTCACGGGAGTCTTACAAAGAAGAAATTCCTATTGTTACAGATCTTTATAAATGTTTAAACAGCAATGGGACAGCTGCTGCTGTCAGCAGCCCACATGGAAAACTTGCGCGTGAGCACGCACGCGGCTGTGAGCGGGGAGGCCTATGCGGCGCCCAGTCCCACCCCTGCCGTCACTGTCCCCTGCAAGGCCCCGGTCCCTGGAGGACCAGATCGACAACGGGACAGAGCAGGTGCAGCNTCCCCGCCTGGCCACGGCCACCTCCGCAGCTGCAAGGCCTGGGCCAGGCCCTCGCCTGGGTGCGGCTCGCGGCTCAGCCCAGGAAGCGGCCGCACAGAGGGGTACATCAGGGACCCCGGGCCGGCAGCTGGGGGGAGCAAGGCGCCTGAGCTCACCAGGGAACGGACAGGCAGCTTAGGCTCCGCCACCGCCCTCCTCGAGCCTCCTGCTTTCATTCTCGAGACTCCAGGGGCTCGGAGAGGACAGGCGGGCGAGTGCCGGACGGCGGGAGGCCGTGAGGATCTGCGGCTGCCGTCGCCACCTTACCCTCCAAGGCCCTTGCTCCCGATGCCCCTGCCTGTCCGCAGGGGAGCCTCCTAACCCCCCTTCACCGTCGTTTATGTTAACAGTGGTCCACCCGCCTCCTGATCCTCGGGTGAACCTGTTACAGAGGAAACGCTGCTGCTGCCTGGGTGCCGGCCCGCTCCCGCCTCCACCCGGGCTGTCTGCGGGTTTTCGGCACCGGCTGAGCAGCAGGAGAGGCTCAAGTCAGAGGCCGACGCGATTCAAAAACCTCAGCCCACTCNGAGGCCGACGTGATTCAAAAACCTCAGCCCAGTTGGCTCCCTGCAACACGCTGGCTACCTGCCGGTCGGCACCTCACTCGCCCCGATGGGGAGATAGGTGAATGAGCTGAGTCCGGGCCTGGGCACCCTCACACGCTGGGTCCTGACTGCTTACAGACCTCCGCAAAAGTGGGGAGTCACCCTGTTGATGGTCACACTCCAGCATCTCCCAGAAACTGCTCCCCCGAAAAGACCAGCCACACCCAAGGCCAAGTCTCCCAGGTCGAGTCATCACCACGGAGCTCGCAGAGCAAACGCTCCTGGGGCGGCCATTTCTGTGAGTGGTATTAAGTCTACATGCAGATTAAAACTAAAATACACAGACAACTAAACCCTAGCAGCTGGTGCACAACAACCCTCCAATGTCCCTCCCGTGACCTACATCAGAGGGCCGCCGCCTCCCAGCCACGGTTCACGTCTCACGGAGCTGGCCCCGCCTCTGAATTCAGAGGCCAACTTATCAACCACCTCACCAATGAAGAGGCGGGGGGCTAAGGTGAGAAGCGTTGAAAAGACCAGTCTTTTCCACTAAAGAATCGAACTCAATGAAAAATTCTGCTTGTAACTGGTGGCTTCTTTTTTAATTAACGGGACAGTTTAGCCCAGGAATGTACCACCCGAGTTTTAAATGATGGTTATTTCTTACATAGGGACACTTACAAGATTCTTGGCTGGCCCGGGCCATAGCGCATTCCCATCCTCTGTCCACCTCACGTCTTTCTCCGGAACCTTCAAAGTGACTGACTGGACTTTGCTACAATTCCAGTATTTTCAAACCCTCTACCTTCGATCAATTATAGAAATAAAAGCTAAATGTGAATCTAAATCTAGAAATAAAAGCACCCCCTTCTCACCTCCAAGCCAATTTGTAAGAGAAAATGAAGGATTTGGCCCAGTCCCACCGGCAGCGAGCAATCTGGGGATCTCCCTCTCGCAGAAGTGCAAGGTCACGGGAGGACCGGGGTGGCAAAGGGCCCGGGACCCAATCAGACGATGGGAACTTGGGCTCCAGTGTTTGTTTCTTCAACCGTGACCTAAACACTCGACATTCATCATCCTCCCTGGTGGGAACGGAACACGAGGCAGCCTCTTCAGAGAAGCTATGAGTCACGGGAGTCTTACAAAGAAGAAATTCCTATTGTTACAGATCTTTATAAATGTTTAAACAGCAATGGGACAGCTGCTGCTGTCAGCAGCCCACATGGAAAACTTGCGCGTGAGCACGCACGCGGCTGTGAGCGGGGAGGCCTATGCGGCGCCCAGTCCCACCCCTGCCGTCACTGTCCCCTGCAAGGCCCCGGTCCCTGGAGGACCAGATCGACAACGGGACAGAGCAGGTGCAGCAGGTAACGTCTAGGCTGGTCCCCCTAGTACTCAGGCCCTGTGATATCCTCCCCTTCAGTGTGGCCTGGACCTCGTGACTTGGTTTTTAGCAACAGGATGTGGCAAAGGTGACGGTTGTCACTCTTGGGATCAGATTATGAAAGATGGAGACTTCTGACCAGGTGGCGGACTTTCTCCCTCGCTGGCTTGAATGAAGCTCGCAGACACAGTGGCAAGGCCCACGGACCAGACACTGAGGGCAGCCTCTGGTCAACAGCCAGCAGAGATCGGAGGCCTGTTTCCAACAGCCCTTGAGGAGCCTAATTCTGCCAACAACCACATGAGCTGGAAGCGAATCCTTCCCCATCCAGCTTTTGGATGAGACCACGCCATGGTGACGCCTTGATGGCAGCCACAGGGAAGGTGAGACGTTGACATGGACGGCCCAGGAGAGCCAGGCCAGGCTCTGACCCTCAGGAACGGTTGTTTTAAGTCACCACGTTTCTGGATGATTTGTTACGCAGCTCTAGGTGACTAACACAGCGGGCAGCCCCACGCTGGGTCAGCTCCCTGACGCAGGCTAGAGCCATGTATCTCCCTTCTCCTGGGCACCAGCACGCCGGTCATGACAGGTCAAGGCCTCATCCTCTGATCACGTGCCAGCTCCCGAAGGGCAGGCGCCAGGACGCTTCGGCATCCACTGCGGAGTATACGCTCAGCACCAAGCACGGGCCCAGAGTGGGATCAGGGCTCAAGAAATAATTTAATTGGCGAAATATTTATATTAAGTCAGGACCAGGAAGGCAGGAAACCCCCGCTTTCAGTTCCCAGTGTAAACAGGGTATTTGTTCTTTAAAAAAAAAAGTCGAGAATGTGATGACTACCTGGGATGGCCGTCCTGTGGCCATGACCCTCAGGCCGGGAAGACAGGCCTCAGGCTGGGGTCTGAGAGGTGAGCCGGGCAGGTACGGCTCTGATTCGGCTGGCTGACCCTGGGCAGCAGGGCTGCCCTCCTGTGCAAACGCTCCCCTTCACAGCACCCGGGCCCTTGGAGGCAGAACCAGAACCTCGGGGGGAGAGAGGATACTTGGGAAGCTGGCTCCACTCCCCAAAAANGGAGGCAGAACCAGAACCTCGGGGGGAGAGAGGATACTTGGGAAGCTGGCTCCACTCCCCGAAAATAGCCTCTAGTGATGCACTTTCTATTCTGCCTGCTTAGATGCTTCTTCCGCTGACCACCTTCCTTCCATTTAATTGGAAAACTCTTACTCATTCTTTAAAACCCAGCCAGNATAGCCTCTAGTGATGCACTTTCTATTCTGCCTGCTTAGATGCTTCTTCCACTGACCACCTTCCTTCCATTTAATTGGAAAACTTACTCATTCTTTAAAACCCAGCCATGCCTCAGCTCCCCCAGAACAGCTTTCTGGGGCCCCCCACTGGAATGTGTTGTCTCTTCGGGGGCCACGCCTCACCCTCCCTCTGCTCTTGCTGAATCCACAGACCACAGCAGCCACGGCCACTCCTGTGTCCCGTTTCCCCAGGGCCTGGCACCCACAGAATCAAGCCCAGGCAAAGGCTGGTGCCCACCTCTCTGAGTCCAGGGAGGCTGCAGTTTCACCCCTGACCCTCTGAGGCTGAGGTGCAGTGTGACCTTCCTCAGAATGAGGAACTAGGGAGATGGGACAGGAAGGCTTGGGTGAGAGAAAGCTCGCTCCTGGGAGAATGTTCCAACCTTGTGAACTTTAGCTGGGGGCAGGCTGAGGTGGAGGCGGTGCAGCTGTGAAAACATGGCCGTGGGCGGCGAGGGGTCAATTGGTCACCAGGCCTCTCCTTTCGGGGCTGACCGCTATGTATAGTGTCCACCCAAGGGCCCCCTGGCTTGTATCAACTGTGCTCGACCATGGGGGCCCAGCCCACTCCACGAGCAGAGACCAAACTCCTGTCTCCAAAGTGTGGAAGCTAGCAGGTAGGACCTGGGGGCTGCTCCAAGGTCGGGGCTGCCTCAGAGCCGGCGGGGGGGGTTCCTGAGGCTGGACGACAGGCAGACATACAGAGGCAGAGGGAAAGCTGGAGCCTGCACACCCAGAGCCCACAGGACAGCGGCATCGACCACGTCGGGAGATGGGAATCCCAGGAGTTAAACCCCGTAGATCCCCGGGGCGTTTCTCATTTCCTGGCAGTGCCTATGGGGAAGTCCCAGGTCCCCGGGTCAAGCCAGCCAGAGGCTAAAGACTGCAGGCCAGGGTCCCTGGCCAAGAAAGCAATCTACCATTTGTTTAGACACAGCGAGATGACCCCAAGAATAATATTTACATAAGAAATACCACTAACATTGCAAGTTAAGCTTGTTTATTTATTTTTTTTAAAAAAAAGAGGCACAATCTTGCTTGTGATNACATAAGAAATACCACTAACATTGCAAGTTAAGCTTGTTTATTTATTTTTTTTTAAAAAAAAGAGGCACAATCTTGCTTGTGATAAGAAAAACTGTTCTTTAAAACGGCCTCATTTCCCCCAACCACCCCCGCCTCCAAAACAGAAAATCTAAGCAGCTCACCTCTCCACCGGGTCCCTGAGCATGACGATCAGCTTCGCCTCCGGCTGGAAGGCGTGGAGGAAGTCCTGGGTTAGAAAGGGCGGCTCGCCGTCCGAGCTGTTGTCGTAGAAGAAGGTCCAGGCGTTATTATCCCACATGGTGGAGGCACTGGCCTCCCCTGGAGACAGAGACACCGCAAATGAGCAGTGTGAGCGATGGCTCCCCCAGAGCAGCCTGGGTGAGGGGCCACGCCTGACTCTACGTCTTCCTCTCAGACAGCCGTGAGGGCTCGAGCTGGTCCTCCGTGCTGGCAGGTGGTCTCCAGGGAGTGGAGGCCAAGACCCACCCTCAGCCACCGTGACACCCCCACCCTGCCCTGCCAAGGACCTCAATCTAGAAATCCAGGTGATCCAGGCAACACTGAGCGCGCCTCCTCTAGCTCCTCTCTCCAGAACATGCAAAAAAACCTCCGTTAGCGCCTGGTCTCCCAATGTCACAATATTTATCTATGCTCACAGTGCACAGCTCTGTGGTGTTTTAAGGTCCCACAGAGAATGTACTAGATGGTTTTCTAGCATCAGGGATGGAGCAGACATTGGGAAGCTGATTCTTATTGGGAAACTGGAGGCAGTCTGCATCGATCTCGCCTCGAAATCACATCGGCGAGTCCTCGGGCACGAACAAGAGGAGGGCTCTGTCAGGGGGCTCCCAAGACCTCTGTCTCAGGCTCAAGGTGCAGCACGCCCATCCACCCCAGCAGCGCCCCCCATCTACTCAGTTCCACCTGGGGAGCAGAAAGGTGGTGCTCACTCCCATTTATCATGGTCTGCATGAATGGAAGAGGAGATGTTAAATATTCCAGGACAGGGTGAGACATTTCAACATTTCTCTCTCAGAAAACTGAAACAATTCCCTGACTTTATTTATTTCTTTTTTCTAGACAGTCTTCAGAATTCTAGAAAGAAAGGCAAATCAGCCGATTAAGTGTGTGCTCCATTTCCTGGCACATTCCATGGGACTCTGATATATCTCAGACACAAATGCAGGAAACGTCTGAGCCCAGAACCTGGCCTCTGCTGGGTGATGAGCACAGCACGCTGCGCAGGGGCCGCATGCACAGGGGACTCGCAGGCGTACAATCACGACCAGGGGAGCTTTTCTGTTCTCTTTCTTTCTTTCTATATTTTTAAGAGCTAATGCCACAGAATACGCAAAAGAAAGGTCAATCAGAGGTCCTTTGGAAATTTCACTCACACTGAATAAGGAACTATTAGGACAAGGCAAGTATCTTAAACTAAATTGGANGATTAAGTGTGTGCTCCATTTCCTGACACGTTCCATGGGACTCTGATATATCTCAGACACAAATGCAGGAAACGTCTGAGCCCAGAACCCAGCCTTTGCTGGGTGATGAGCACAGCACGCTGCGCAGGGGGCGCATGCACAGGGGACTCGCAGGCGTGCAATCACGTCCAGGGGAGCTTTTCTGTTCTCTTTCTTTCTATATTTTTAAGAGCTAATGCCACAGAATACGGAAAAGAAAGGTCAATCAGAGGTCCTTTGAAAATTTCACTCACACTGAATAAGGAACTATTAGGACAAGACAAGTATCTTAAACTAAATTGGCACAAATTCTGTCAGATGTCATAAGTGGACTGGTCCTACAACCGAGAAGCTTCTGTCTATCCACCTGTCTGTCCTTCATCCATCCTTACCCATCCTCATCCATCCTTCATCCACCCTCACTCATCCTCATCCATGCATCCATCCGTCCTTCATCCATCCTCATCCATCCATCATCCTTCATCCATCCTATCCATCCATCCATCATCCATCCATCATCCATCCTTCATCCATCCTCACCCATCCATCATCCATCCTTCATCCATCCTCATCCACCCATCCATCATCCATCCTCACCCATCATCCTCACCCATCCATCATCCATCCTCATCCATCATCCATCCTCATCCATCCATCCATCATCCATCCTCATCCATCATCCATCCTCATCCATCCATCCATCATCCATCCTCACCCATCATCCTCACCCATCCTTCATCCACCCATCATCTATCATCCATCCATCCTTCATCCATCCTCATCCATCTTCATCCATCATCCATCCATCATCCATCCATCATCCATCAATCCTTCATCCATCCTCATCCATCCATCCTCAGCCATCCATCCATCATCCATCCTCATCCATCCTTCATCCATCCTCATCCATCCATCCTTCATCCACCCTCACCCATCATCCATCCATCCTCCATCCATCCTCATCCACCCTCATCCATCCATCCTACATCCATCATCACTCATCCATCATCCATCCATCATCCATCCATCCTCACCCATCCTTACACATCCATCCAGAGACCATTCATTGGTGTGTAACATGTGCCCGGCACTGCACATGGCATTGGGGATAGATCAGGGAAATGAAACGAGGAGCCCCTCCTCTCTCATAACGTATCTGGAGAAAGAACAACAGTTCAGTAAACAAAGCCCCGTGTGCACTCACAGGGCAGAGAAGGGGCCATGAGCAGAGGCAGGCACTTTCAACATGCCTAGAGCCCCAGCTCCAAAGAACCTGGCCACTCGAATCCTTCGTGACTCCAGCCATCAGCCCAGACCACTGAGGAAAGGACCTCTTGGGCCGAGGTGAAGAAAGGCCCTTATGGTTCTAGCAAGGATCTAAGCGGAGGAAGCTGGAGCAGAGCTGAATCACACAGTTCAGGAGAGGGAGGAGCCCAGGACCGATCTGGTCCAACAGCCCATTTTATAGGATGTGCAGACTGAGGTCAGGACCACAAGGATAGACTTGGCATGTGGCAGAGCAGGCTAGTGCACGAGCAGGGCTGGATGCCAGCTCTCCCCCTGCCTTTCCACCGCCATAAACCACCACACTCTGCCTTGGGTAAATACATAGCAGCATTTCGTTTTTCATTCCCCCCTTTTTAAATGTGGAAGCAAATGTTAGGAAACCAAACCTTGGCTTTCCTTTCTCATTCATTATCTCAGTCTCCTTCCCCGGCTCTACGATGCATATTTTTAGCTTTTCATAAGACCGTATTTTCCCAGAGGCACACAGGGTGGAAATCACAGTCCAACATTAATCAGACTTGTGGTTTGGGGTGTTTGGCCCCCAAGGCTGTAAAAATGTAAAAATATAGCTAGTAGCCAGTTCACACTGGAGGGAGAGGGGTATGATCCCATAAGGCTCCCAGGATTTGGTTTTGAGCTAAAATTAAAATAGAAAAAAATCAGGGCTTAGGCCCTCAGACAAGTAAAGAGCCATCTCTCAAAGGGTCGATGACAGCGCCTCCTGGTCACTAATGGATTCACTGAATTTGAGACTTGAAATACAACAGATTTAGGCAAAATTTAAAAGTTGGTTACCTGCCAATTTAAGCAAAACACACGCTTAGATTTCTCTCTTTCAGAAGATATACAGGGACAAATATCTTCTCCTGAGCTGAGCCCAACACAAAGAGCAAAAAGATATGTTTTTAATAAAACATTCTTGCGAATTAAAGAAACGATTGTTAATCAAACCACCTCATTTCGAATGTCTGAAGGCATTAGGTTGACAAGGGCCGGCTTTTTTAACAGCAATTAGTCGGCAAGGATGCCTCGGGCTGCGTCTGTTCCCGGAGAGGCTGCTTCTGTCTTTCTGGGGCTCCAGCAGCCAGGGTTACCACAGCCTCACTAATCAGTTAATTGCACTGATGAGCCCCCACCAGACTTAGATCGGTTTATCAGTTAGAGAAGCCAAGCATGTGTGCTTCATTAAAATAAGAACAAAGAAACGGCAACTTTTAAAAAAAGGCATTTCAGCTGTGCTGGAGTCCACGGAACTCGAAAGCCCACTAACATTTCTGCTTTATAGAAACTGTTCAGGTGATGTGAACGAACGTGTCACGTGGGGGCGAGAGATGGCCAGGCAGGGATGCACGCTCCTCGGGTGTCATGCAGGCGGAGCAAAGCTGGGCCCGGCCCAGGGCGGGAGTGGCTCGAGGGAGGGACTGGGGACACCATACCGATGACGATCCTGCTCATCTGGCCGAGCTCCCGTGCAGAGCTGGCCTGCAGCCCCTGGTGGATCTGGTGCGCGGCCAGGTCAAAGAGGTCCAGGTAATCTTCCACGGGGTAGCGGTCCCGCAGCCCGTCTCTCAGGCGAACGATTCCTACAAGCACCGAGAAGCAGGAGTTACTGAGGATGAAGCCGTCACTGCTGGGCTGGTGGCCTCCCAGGGGGGGACNCGTGCAGAGCTGGCCTGCAGCCCCTGGTGGATCTGGTGCGCGGCCAGGTCAAAGAGGTCCAGGTAATCTTCCACGGGGTAGCGGTCCCGCAGCCCGTCTCTCAGGCGAACGATTCCTACAAGCACCGAGAAGCAGGAGTTACTGAGGATGAAGCCGTCACTGCTGGGCTGGTGGCCTCCCAGGGGGGGGACAGAGAGGGGTGGGAAGGCCCAGGGGCCAGCTGCAGCAGCCAAAGCTCGGCCCAGGAAGCAGCGGGGAGGCGGGCGTGGGCACACTGGCTGCACCTTCTAACCCGTTTGCTTCGGGGGCGACTCGCACCACCAGCTAGCTGCACAGTGGTAACTAAAAGGACGTCCCAGCTGTTCGAGAACTATAAAGGTGTCCGCTTGGAGGGCCAGAAAGCCGGCGGCTGGTTAACACAGACACAGAGATGGCGGGCAGGGTGCACACACGGCGTCAAACAGAAAAGGGCACTTGTTTCCAAGTCTCTGTCTCCTGGTCCAAGGATTTTCAATGGTGAGCCACAAGGATTTTAACAACATGCAACACCCGACTACTCAGTCAGGGGCGCTAATCTCTTTTCCTTTAAATTGTGAAATAAAAAAACGATAACAGCCAACACAATAGCCGTCCAGTGTGAATGAGTCGAAATTATACCATTTTTTTTGCCCTGGCCGGTGTGGCTCAGTGGATAGAGCGTCGGCCTGCACATCTAAAGGTCTCGGGTTTGATTCCAGTCAAGGGCACATACCTGGGTTGCAGGTTTGATCCCCAGAACCAGTCACTGTGTCTCTCTCACATCGATGTTTCTCTCTCTCTTTCTCTCTCTCTCCCTCCCTCCCACTCTCGCTAAAAAAAAAAATCAATGAAAAAAAATCCCTCAGCTGAGGATTAACAGAACAAAAAAAAATTATATTTTTTGGTGTGCTGCAGAATTTTAATCAGTTCGTGTGCTGTGAGATCAGAAACGTTGAACATCGCATTAGATCAGGCAGCCTGTCTGTCTGTCCAGACAATACGGAGTATTGAGGGCCCCAGACAGACGCTTGGGCTGAACAGCAGTGATACTGGCATGAGCCCCACGCAGCCTCAGTTTGCTCCTGGCTTAGATATGGGCACATTTCACCTGCAAGCCCATTAACCACACACTGTCCCAAACCACAGCTTCCGAGGTTAGCGGGAAGCAGGAAGAGCATGCCCGTGGGGCAAACAAGAGGCTCCAGGTGGCACGGGCGCGGGCTCTGGAGCACAGCCCTGAGCTCCTGGCCGGGAGGAGCATGTTTTCATCAGGGAGGGGAGGACCGGGGGAGAGCACCTCCGAATGAGCAGGACGGTAAAACCCTGGCTCGAGCCCCGCGGCCACTGCCAAACCCCAGACACATGTGTGCCCTTGTCCACTCCGGGAGGACTAGCAAAGGGTGAGGTCAGACACGTCAGGAAACATTCAGCGTCGGCCTAAACCTGGGTTCCACTCAGGAAAACTTGAAGACTCCTAAACAACCTGGCCCTGCCCACGGAAACGCCCTCGGCCGGCCCAGACTCCGGCACCGGTCATCCCAGAGCTCCGGTGACCACACGTCTCTTGGCAGCTCGAAAAGGTTAAGGAGAGGAAACAGTGACCGAGGGCGCAGGGCGGCCAGGCCGGGCGGGGCTGGAGCCAGCCTGCAGTGGGCGGGCGCGGCCGCTGTGCGCCCCGTGGGAAAGGGGGTGCCCTGAGCAGGCTAGCTCGCCCCCACCCGGCCCCAGTGACCTCGGTGAGCAGAAGGCGCGAGTGGGTGGGTGATGGAGGCGGGACCCCTCCCCAAGCCCACGCACCAAACCGCTTCCTCGTCCACCAGTGCGGCTCCTTGATGGCGGAGAACTTCACCTCGGGGTGCAGCCGCAGGCGGTCGTACAGGTCGGTGGTGCCGCACTTGGGCTGCCCGATGATGTAGAAGCGCGGCAGGCAGCGCAGGCGAAAGTGTCGCCCGCCCGCGTGCGACAGGTGGCCCCAGAACGCCTTGCGCAGCGCGTCGAAGGTGGCGCGGAAGCGCTTGGAGTACAGCGCGTAGGAGTTGGTCAGGTAGGGGTCGGTGGTGTTGCGCCCCGGGAACTCCTCGTACCAGCACGGGCTCCTGCTGTTGGGGAGGAATTTCCTGGGGATGACCGCAAACATCTGCAGCGAGGAAGAACAGGGGGGCGCGGAGGAGTGGAATGAGCCCGGACACTTTCTAACCGCAGCATAATCCTGCTCAGGCCCTTAACTCCGGCGTTCAAATTAAAATCTCATCTGACAGGGACGGAATACCAACATCGAGCAAAACCCGGGTAAAGAGCCAAAGACCGTGTTGACTCTTACCCAAAATTAAAAAACAAAACTTTGGAAAGAATGAAGATAACAGTTGGATCCAAATTCACCCTGCCATGATTTATCTCTTGCACGCACGCACGCACCCAGGACAATCTAACTGAACAGTTGGAATCTGTTTACTAGTTGTGTATTTAATGGCCATCGGAGACAAAAGTACTAATTAGGACAGACTAGGAACAGGCTGATGTCTGCACGGGCAGCTGGAACCCCTCCACCGCCTGTCAGTCATCCCCCAAGGCCTCCAGCTGCGCGGGCGCAGGTTCCCCTCCCGGGGCAACATTGTAGCAACCAGCGCCCTGCCTGCACCCTGCTCGCAGGCTGTCCAATTAGCCTCGCTACAGTGACGGAAAAGTATCCGTTTTTTAAAATCTGTCAATCAACCATGACTAGCGTGAGGCTACTCACGTGGGGCTCCTGCCTTTTGAGGTCCTCTGTGTCGGGGAGCTGCCTGGGCGTGAACTCTATCCGGGCTGTGATGCTGCTGATAATTAATTTAACGCTTGGGTAGTCCTTCATGTATGAAATATTACTTGCAGAGGGCTGGTGATGGTGCTCTTTGGCGTCACTCGGGTTTTCGCCGTCCGCCGAGCTGGGACCGCCGGGGAAGGCTCCGTAGTGGAAGGGCGATGAGATCAGCAGCTCTTGGTGGGCCCCCGACAGGATGTAGGAGGCCATCACCAGGGTCATTATGATGAGTCCGAACACGAGGCTGCATCGCCTCCCCTTCCTGAAGCGCGAAAAGCCGGCCCAGCTCTCGCCGCCTTCGGCCCTCACTTCGAGGACCGCGAGCAAGTTCATCTGCTTACCGTCCACACGCAGCACGATTCTGCTCTCCCCGGCGCGCGCGGGGCACTCCTGGCGACCGCGGGGCGCGCCTCCCCGGCAGCCGGCCCTCGGTGTGTCGTCGGGGGACAGCTGTATGCAGCAGTCAGCGCAGTGCCTCATGGTAGTGCCCGTGGACGGCGGGCCCTCCGAGCCATGGGCGAGGAGTCCGGAGGGAGCGTCCAGCTGGGAAACCTGAAGGAAGGCACCGGTGACAGATATAAAAACGAGCGGGCACCCGGGCGCTACAGGACGAGGGAGGGCGTTCTTTGGCTCGGCTCCGAAAGAAGGGAAGGAAGGGATCGCCAGCTGTCATGCTCTGTCGGTGCCGCCGGGACCACGGGATAGCCGCATGCTCGGGAGCCTTCCTGCGCGTCCTTCAGGTTTTTTCCCGTGGCACAGAGTGACGTGGAAGGGGTCTCGCTGGAGAACGTGGAAACAGCCAAGGGACTGGCAGGTGTCATGGTCTTCTCAGCAGGGGATGGGCTGGCACACCGCCCATGGAGACGCCCTGGAGGCTCCCCTCCTACATCCTGTGTTCCCCTGAAATGTCTCCTCTTCGGGGGGCAGGAAAGTCCTTAAAATGTGAGATTACCTAAACCACAAAGAAAACAGGTTTTATTCCATCGTGCGATAATAGCAATAACCCCCAGGTCATCTTCCGAGGAGAGAACCTCTGAGTTTCAGCCCAAACCTGCCGGGTCACAAGTCATAGAAAACCATACGGATGAAGGGGGGCATCAGGGCCCTGGTGCCTGGCTTTGGGGTTCAGTCTCTGCCAGCGACTGTGGCCCCAACACCAGCAGCACCAGCAGCGGGTCAGACACCTCATATTTTGCCCAGTTGGCAAACCCTCTGAGCCCCCGCCTGACCTGGCTGTCACTAGACCCCAGTCCCGGAACCTTGACTCATCCTCGGATTCGTGCTCAGTCAGTGACTGTGAACTTGAGAGATGCGCCGAAGTATCTGCGCTTTTAAGTGAACTAAGAATCCATGAAGGAAGGTGGGGAGGTGGGGAGCAGGCAGAGGATGAATGAGTTTCCTCTCCCGATAGCACAGACCCTCCCTTCCCCAGAGCCAACCTTTATTGCCAGCTCAGGAAGCAGACGTAATGAAAATCTAGGGAGACCAAGACGATTTCTTCTCCAGGAGAGGGTATCACATAAAAAAACCATTCGACTCCAAGCCCTTAGGCAATTAAATCCAACGCACAGCATCCCCTGTGTGATGACATTCTTCAGACCCGGAAATAATTTTTCATGTTTGTCATCCTGGGAAAAGCAGGATTCTTATAAATCTATTAATAGAATCCTGTGGTTACAAAATGCATTATTGCCTGGATGACAGGGCTTTAAGTAAAAAAACAAAAAACAAAAGAAACAAAAATGGACCAGCTGGTGTGGCTCAGTGGTTGAGCATCGACCCATAAACCACAAGGTCACCGGTTCGATTCCCGGTCAGGGCACATGCCCGGGTTGCGGGCTCGATCCCCAGTCGGGGGCGTGCAGGAGGCGGCTCATCATTGATGTTTCTGTCTCCCTCTCCCTCTCCCTTCCTCTCTCTGAAATCAATAATAACATATATATATTTTTAAAGCAAAAATGGAGACCTACCTAGTATCCAGCGGTGGTGGACCACCACGAGTAGCTGTGTGACCCTGAGCAAGCCACCTAACCTCTCTGAGCTCCGGTTGCCTCCCCAGTGAAATCAGGGTGAGGGAACCTCCCTTATGAGCTTGTGAAAGTACTGTATCAGTTAGTGCACGAAAGGAGTGTGCATAACGCCCGCACATATTTAGCATCCCCTAAAAGGCACGCAGCATTAATGCTGCCAGCACCATCGATGACTTTTGTCAGTGAATGCCACGAACATTTGAAATGGAGTCAGAAATGGGAGATCCTATCACATTACTTGTCCGCAGCGCTCTTACGCAAGGGCAATGGCTGTACCCCCAACTCTGTACACACACCCTCAGACAACCCCCGCTGTCCCCAGAGAAGGCAGAATTAACTAAACCTGCAGCAAACCCTCCTCGTACTGGCTGAGGGGCTCGGCCGTCAGAACTCCCTAGGAGAAACGTGCCCTCCCTTGGACCACAAGGCCCAAGTTTCATCAAAGCGCATCGACCAAGAAAGAGCCAAGCAGCATTTCCTAAAACGTCTCCCACACCCAGCCCGCATGCTGCCGATGCGTGTTCTGCGCTTGAGTTACAGGGAGGAAATGTGAAACGGACAGAGCGACAGCCTTCTTTACAACGGGACTTTTCAGGGCCTTTAATCTGCTCCTAAGCCCCGGGAGTCCACAGGAGAGGAACAGAATACACAGAATTTCCAAAACATAACCGGCCATGGATTTTTCTCCCTGAGGTTCAAGGAAGCAGCTTGTGAAATGCTGGCCAGGGAAGGCGGAGACCGGTCAGGACAGTTCTGAGGACAGCAGAGGAGTGGGGGCCGTGGGAGCAACTGCTCCGGAGCCAGGCGGCGCATCGGGCTCCGCCACCCTCACCCCGAGGGCAGTCAGAGCCGCGACAGAACCTCAAGGCTCCAGCCTCCGCTTCAAACTTGTCAGCCACCCCTGACCTGCCTCTGGGTACAAACAATTCTTCCAAACCGAGGGAACAAAAGAGCAAGCTCCCTGGCTCGGCAACCCCGCCGCTAAGCCGAGAGAAAACATCCTTTACGCGTCGAAGATAAGGCTCCAGCCGGGATCTCGGTGGGGAGCGAGCTCCCACCCTCTGTCTCTCCGGCTGCGAAGGCCCAATTAATTCTGTTTAAAGAAAACATGGTCTTTGAAACTCCCAAGATAAGAATGTACACTATCTGGACCCAACAGAATGGGCAAAACATCCCCTAAACAAGAGCAAAGTTTTCTCGTCACAAGCAAAGTAATTAAATAAACCCGGAGATGGAGAAGCTAGGGGTGTCAGCGACACTGGGGCGTGGTCAGGGCATCCGTCCCCTGGGCAGGCTGCTCGGGCCCACACCACCTCTCACTGCTTAAACAGAAAACAGGAGCAGAGAACTGGGGAGACAATTCCAGGTGCCTCGGGAGCCTAAAAACCCTCAGTGTCATTGATTTATAATCCACTCGTTTTGTTCACCAGCGTATGTGGGCACTGCTGAGGATGCCAGCCCAGGTCTGGGCGCCTGGAGCCAGTACAAGATTGGGGGGGGTAGAATAAAAATATTAATATTTGGTCTTTGTTTCTCACGCACAACTTCTAAACCCCTTGGAATGTCCTGAGCTATCGACTGTTATTCATTATAAGTCCCTTTCAAACACACCTGAGTTTATGCCGACGAGGTGACTCTTGGTGGCCCTGGGATAGCTTCAGGTGGGGCTGGTCACAGGAGACCAAGCCCTGATCAGAAACCGAGAACTCTCAGCCCCGCCTCTCCAACCTCCGAAGAGAGAAGGGAAACTGCAGACCAGGCTAATCACCAACGGCCAGTGGTCTCATCAATCCTGCCGGCGTAATGGAGCCTCCGTTAAAAGCCCTAAATGGCAGGATTGGGAGGGATTGCTGGTTGGTGAACACGGAGGCGCTGGGCAGGTGGCACCCCGAGGGCATGGAAGCTGTGGCCCTGCCCCGAGCGTCTCCTCCATCGAGCTGTTCCCGAGTCGTGTCCATAACAGACCAGTCACCGTCAGTAAAGTCCTTTCCTGAGTTCTGTGCGTGGTTCTAGCAAATTATCAAACCTGCGGAGCATGTTGGGGGAACCTCCGAACTTGCTGCCATATCAGACAGAAGTGTGGGCAGCCCAGGGACCCAACACTTGCACCTGGCATCTGAAGTGGGGCAGTCTCGGGGGACGGAGCCCCTAACCCGGGGGCTCCGCACTAACTCCCAGGAGTTAGAGTCAGAATCGAATTGAGTGGTAGGACCCCCAGCTGGAATCTGGAGAGCTGGAGAATTTGTCAGTGGGAGAAAAAACCCCTGGAGGGGGGTGTCTTTGAGAAAAAATATAAAACTGCACCAGGGCCAGGTCATTCTCTGTCGTCAGCGGCCGTTCTGTGCCCTGGGGGATGCTGAGCAGCACCCCTGCCCTTCGCCCCACCCCGTGCGAGTGGCCGCCTTGGGAGAAGAGGTGCAGTAGACAGGACAGCCAGGGAAGGCCTGGGTAGGAAGGGCGTCTGAACGACAGCAAAGAGGCCAGCCCCACGGGGATCCGGAGAAGCAAACGCCCCGTGAGGAGAGACTCTGGAGAGCAAAGCCCTAGAGGACCACGCGAGGGCCGGCCCCTGGGCTGTGGGGCAGGGGCCGGAGACCCGGACGGAGGGGAGGCAGGGCCTTCGTCCAAGTGCAGAAAGGGGCGCACTCTGTATTCTCCCGAAAGGGTCTTTACAGTATAGCTATTAACTAAGGTAAGTCGGTGAAGAAAGTAGAGTCGACGGGGCTGTACTGAAAGGAAGGTGGGCGGCTGCCCCGCTCCTGCACTGGCCTTTCCCACACACCACAGACGACCCCGGGAACAGCCCCTCGGACACCCAACACCCGGCTCATTCTGCCTTTAAAAATGCCCGCTCGTGCCCCCTTGCCCTGGGCCCGTCTGGAATGTCCACGTTTCGGTGCCAGTGGACTCGGGTTCGACAGGACCCTTGGCTCTCCCGTCGGGTATTAAACCTAAGCCTCAGGTGTCCATTTCAGGGAGATTGCTCCCCAGCCCGGGCTCCATGCTGGGCCTTTTGGACGCAGCGTATAATGGTGGGAACCCGGGGCCCCTGTGCGAGATCTGATAGCCGGTCCCAAAAGAGAAAGCGTCCAATTCCCCGGCTAGGAAGCCCCCCTATTAACCTATGCACCCCAAGCACCATTACCAAGCCATTTATACAAAACTGTAATTGAGAGATCCAGAAATACCACCGTAGATTAAGTAATTGAATGCCCCCTCGGTGTGAGATCGATAAAGGGCATCCAATTTCACCCCGGGAAAAACTTATTAAATTATCGTAGCCATAAGCTGATACAGCAGAAGAAAGATGTATGAAACTTCAAAAGAAATCTGGATGGATTTAAATAAATAGCTTCATTTAGGTAGAGCATTTACATCTGCCCTCCGGGAGCCAAGAGGAAAATACAGCCAATAACATTATTTTACTTTAATGTTTCAAAGGAAAAAAAAAATTGATGGCTCTTAATTAACCTTTAGTAAAACACAAAGCCTCCCTCTGATTAGTCTGTCTAACAGCTGACATTCCTCGGTGGGCTGCGGATATGGAAATACATTTTTTCCAAGGAATATTAATCAACGAGAGGAGGAAGGAACATTGTTTACATTTAGCTCAAAGATATCATTAGACTGTCACCGAGACCGAGAAGGAGACTGGGGATTTCGGCACCAACAACAGGCGACCAGTTTGAGTCCTATCCCTGAGCTGAATGCTTTCGCTCACAAGGTACAGAGTTAACAGAACACGCCACAGCCCTCGATGAGCACTCACTGGCCCGCGGCTCGTGCAGAGGACACAGGTAGCAGCCAGGGGCAAGGATGCTAACGTCGGGTCCATTTAGTGACCTCAGACAAGCCACTTCGGTGACCGGGCCTCTGTATTCTCCAAAGAAGTCCTTGACAGCGCGGCTGAGTGGCTGAGCGC